TATATATATATACAACAGGGGCAGGTGAAGCAGAAAATGTCATCTGGTGGCAAGTATGTCTCGGTCAACATTGGACCTGTTCAAGTTGTTTCTAGCGAGCAGGTCTTTCTCTCTCATCATTCATCTTCAAAAATTCAAATTTTAAGTAATTTTGTTGGGGTTTGGGTGGAAATTTTTTTTATGACTACAGGTTCAAGCTGTTTATAATGCCATGAGGAGAGATGATCGAATGAAATACTTTCTGTAGCCTATATCTCTTCACTCTTCACTTTACATATATGCATGGAAAGTCAAACACTTTGACTACATTGGTCACGGGGCTTTTTTTGGAAATCTGCATTAAGATTAGAACCGGGATCCATTTTATTAGCCAAAACCTGATGGTAATTCAAGGGTTATTAGTAAATTACCTTGTTTATCAAGTCAAGTGTTCTCAATTGTTAATTCTCTGATTAGATAATGTTCGGTTATTTAACTTTCCTTACTTGTGGTATTGTTGCAACTTTTATGTTTGGGAATTACGGTTGTTCCTGTTACCACAATAGCTTATGTATAAATCTGGTGGTAATTTCAGTTATTTTACTCTCTGCCTATATAGTTGTGCTCAAATGGTTGAAACATATTTTGACTATGGATACTGCCATAAAATAAGATACAATCACTATGGTTTGCTGTAATAAAATGACTTGCCAAATTACATAAACGTCACTATATTTTGGCGATTTAACCATTGCATTTTCTTTCCATTAATGAAAGCCACTCAAGTTTTACATGTCAGACCATTTTGATATGCTATAACCTGCTATAACTATAGTTTGTTAAAGTAGCCACTCAAGTTTTACAAAAATTTAGCCATTTTGATGTACTGTGACCTGTTATAACTATAACATGTTAAAAAAGTGGTCACAATGCAAAATTTTGATACTAACTATTCCATTAAGCTGCTAGGTTTTGACAAAATTTTCATTGGTAAACAATTTAACCTCCTAGCCAAATGGTAATCACTTGGTAATGAAATACTCAAAATGTAGTTCACCCGGGTTCAAATCTCATATACTTCAACTTTGTGTGACTTGCTCTTTAATTCCCTCCCAACCCATTACCATATCAGATTTTCTCTCTTTTTTCTCTTCATCTTTCCCAACCCACAACACACGGAAACCCTATCTTTTTCAACTCACTTAACCTACTCAATTAAAAAAAAATACAAAATAAACCATGTCAAAGTGGTCGATATAGAAAATGTATTCAAAATTTTGTGGCTTTCATTGACGAAAAAGAAAGTTAAACCATAAAAATGGCCAATCTATAGGAGCTCTTTTATGTATTTTTCCCTAAAATAACAATCAAATATTCTAATTTAATTATTGAACTTCTAATTATGCAACTTAAACCATTAAAGTCGTTACTTTTGTTTAATTAAGTCATTTGGCTAAATTTCCAACAAGGCTAATCACCTTCGGTGAACTTGATGAAGCTTGACCCATGAATATAGTAAATTTTGATCATTTATCCGTGATCAAAATACACAATCAACCATGATTACTAGCAAAACTTAGCATTCTGATCGGTAACATTTGCAGCCGGTGGTATCTCAAAATGCCACAATCTTCCGACGCTCTTCTTCAAATTCCTCCGACACAAAAACTCTTCCCCATAAGCTTTCTCAGTTTTCCGATTCACATCATGCAAAAAAACATGCGTCACCCCTGATTTTTTCCGATTTCTCGCCATCACAGCAACCGTGTAAATCGCCCCCATCCTTCCCGGCGCCTCATCGAAATAACCCCTGGGGGCGTCGATCATTATCATATCCCATTCTTGATCGTAGACATGATCTGGTAGACCCGTGATTGCTAACTTGCACTGCGTGTTTCCTCGAATATAACTTTTGGATGGGGCACATTCCGGTTCGGATTGATACCAATTCAGGAGCTCGAAGGCGTCGGCTTGTTTCGTCCGGTAATTGACGGTGACTGCGTTCAGATCTGGTGAGGTTTTAAGGACACTCCGGACCCATGTCGGGTCTTCTTCCAGGAATAGGGTTTTGCCGAGTGGATTGAATGACGCCCACATCAGGGAATCGTGACCGAGTCCGAAAACGAGAAAATTACAGGGCGAAATCGATTGAAGAACGTCGAAGGAGACGGTGATCTCTTCTAACGATTGTTGTGGGACGACCTGAGAAGTGGCGTAGTGGAGAATGGCGTCGAGTTGCAATGGTGTGGTGGTTGAGGGGAAGAATTCTTCGGGGATAGATTCACTACAGAAGAGAGGGATTTCACCACCGCCGTTGAAAGTCGAGAGGAGAAGGCTGCCGGCTATAATAGCACCGGCGGATAACAAGAGGTAGAGTCCCCGGTCAGTGATGGGTGGGCGGTTCTTCATGATTTTAAAAATTCCGGTGACAGAGATACAAAACACAAAAATGTTGGTGTTGTCGATCACCTTGAATAAAATCTCCGGTCTCCAAAATGTCCCGAAAATTGCGTGATGAATAGGCCACACAAATATTCTAAAACTAACTCTTTTATGAAATTGTTAAATTATTGAATTGTGTTTTACGGGTTTTGTTAGCAATGGAATCATAAAATAATAATTTGTAAAAGAAATCATTATATATCGGTATCTTAATCCATTTAGTCATTATATATGTTTTTATTGGGATATATACAATAAAGTCTCAATATTTTCATCGATTTAACATGAATGTATTAAACTTTATTTTTTTAACAGTAAAGTCCTAATTACCGACAGTTTTTGACATTTTTATCCTTTTTTTACGGTTAGCCGGTAATTAGGATTTTTTTGTAAAAAAAAAAATTAATAAAGTTTAGGACTTTCTTGTCAAATCGTGAATTTGGACTTTACTGTCAAAAAAATAAAGTTTAAAACTTTTTTGTCAAATCGTTGAAAATATTGGGACTTTAGTGTTTATATCTTTTTTTTTGTTAGAAATTTAATAATATGATAGTCTTTAAGTAAGTTATTGAAACCTGCTCTAATCAACTAAATCCTATTGAAGAACTAAGAAACCAGGAAAAAAAAAACGAAATTGCCCTTCTTACCCATTCTCCTCATTCACACCCTAATCGTAATTGTATCAGGGTAAAGATGATAATGGTAAGAAAAATAGATATTGGTTTGTTAAGATTAAAAAAAACTATTTAACAAGAAGCACACTTTAAAGATTTCAATAGGATCTAGCTTACTAGAGTATGTTTCAATAACTCTTATGTTTAAATACTATAATATCATTAAATTTCTAACCAAAAAAGGGATATATACACTAAAGTCCAATATTTTTAAAGATTTGACAAGAAAGTCCTAAACTTTATTTATTTTTACAGTAAAGTCCTAATTCACGATTTCACAAGAAAGTCCTAAACATTATTTTTTTTTAACAAAAAAAAATCCTAATTACCGGTTAACCGGAAAAAAATGGTAAAAGTGTCAAAAACTGCCGGTAGTTAGGACTTTACTGTCAAAAAACATAAAGTTTAGGACTTTCACTTCAAATCGATGAAAATATTGGGACTTTACTGTATATATCCCTTTTTTATTCAATTAAGTTAAAAAAACCGGTAATCGTATTCAATTTGATATTTTTACCCGGTCAACAGCACATCCAATTTTTAAAAATTGCACTTTTGGCCCAAAATTTATTCTTTTGGCCCAAATTTTAAATTTTATTACAAATTTGGTCTATAATTTACCCTTTTTGCCCAAAATTTAAATTTTATTACAAATTTGGTCCAAAATTTACTCTTTTGGCCCAAATTTTAAATTTTATTACAAATTTGGTCCAAAATTTACCATTTTGGCCCAAATTTCAGAATTTTGTTAAGAATTCATCATAACTTTAGTTTTTTTACAACATTTTTCTCAAAAAAAAAATTCGAATATATTTTTTTTTTATAAAATCATATTATACAAAAACAACATATTTTCACATAAAAAATCTTATATCTTCTACATAATTGTTTTTTAAAAACTTTTCTGTATACGAAATACATATTTATAAAAATAGGTATTTGTTAAGTACATAAATATGTACAAATCCATTTTTATAAAAATATATACAAACATCTATTGTATTATAAATACATTTTGTAAAAACATATTTATATGCACCCAAATAAGTGTTTGTATATATTTCTTCTGTAAAAACATATTTATATATTTTTTATAAACACCTATTTTATAATAAACACATTTGTTTCAAACACGTTTAAAAATAAAATGTATACAAGCACGTATTTTATAAAAATATATACAAACATGTTTTTATAAACAAATGTATACAAATATGTTTTTATAAAAAAAAGATATATACAAACATGTTTTTGATAAAAAAACATCATTTGACAAGTAAATTATCGACAATTAAATTATCCTTTTAAATGTATACTCTAAATATTAGTTATATAAGAATTAATACCATAAAATAATAACTCATATTCAAAATTCAAAAGGAATTTTGATCACTGATAAAAAAAGTGTGTCTTCAAATTAAAAAATTAAATTTATTGTCATACAACTTTTTTTTTCAACCCACCCAACGTTATATTTTTGTTTTAAACCCAAAATAATATATCAAATTGGGTTAATTTCTAAGTTATAAGTTACCATATTATATTTTTTTATAAATATGTGTTTGTATACAAATATATTTATAATAAAATAGGTGTTTGTATAAATTGTTTTTTGTAAAATATGTGTCTGTATATATTTTTTTATAAAAACGAATTTGTATATATTTATGTACTTAATAAATACCTATTTTTAAAAATAGGTATTTCCCATACAAAAAAGTTTTTATATAGAAAATATAAGATTTTTATGTGAAAATATGTTTTTTTTTGTACAAATACGATTTTTTTTTAAAAAAACATATTCGAAATTTTTTTTTGAGAAAAAAGTTGTAAAAGAACTAAAGTTAGGATGAACTCATAAATTTTTTTTGAAATATAGGCCAAAAGGGTAAATTTTTGACCAAATTTGTAATAAAATTTAAAATCTGGGCCAAAAGTGTAAATTTAGGATCAAATTTGTAATAAAAATTGAAAATTGGGCCAAAAGTGTAATTTGTGAAAATTGGATGACCTGTTGACCGGGTAAAATGGTTAAATTAAATATGATTATCGGTTTTTAGGACTTAATTGAATAAAAAAATATATAAGGACTAAATCGATTATAAGACCAATATGTAAGGATTTTTTTTGTAGTTTTCCCTAAATTGAACTTGTATATCTCTTATTTGAAAAGATTTTAAAATTGGATAAAAGAAAATTTCCGAAAAAATTGATCATATTTCTTTTGAAGCGGAAATGTCATGCATTAAAAAAATGCACTCTAACGGAATTAAATGTTAGCCATGATTATAGCCGTAATTCAGTGCGTGTTAGATAAAGGCTTACGATTTTAGTAGAAAAAGAGTCAAATACTAGTAGCACAGATGGGTCATGTTGGAGATGGATGGGTGAGAGTGGAAAGAAGAAGAAAAAAAACTCGACCAAGTAAGATGCAATGATTCAGATGGCATCAAACGTGTTGCAACTACCTTCTTTGTATAAAATTTTTAGAATGGATGAAATAGTGGAAGATTGTGTAAAGCTCAACAAGGCTGTGGGAATATAGTGGATGTGTACGTGGAAAGGAAGAGAAATCGTTTGTGAGTGAGTTTTGGTTTCATTAGATTCATAAAGGTGGGGAACTTACGGGAGCTTGAATCGAGAATGAAAATAATGTCTTTTGAAGGAAAGAAACTTCATGCAAATGTGGCGAGATTTAAAAGAAACAAGATTTTGGTGCAATCGAGTCACATAGATTTTGCATATACTGGCGATAGGAGGTGGAATAAAGCTTCTTTGAATTGCTCACTTAGGGAAGGGGTATCGAATATATCATTCAAGGAGGCCGTCTTAAATTCAAGGCTTTCTCAGGAGGAATCGAAACTAAAACAACCGGGGAAATTCAATATTCCTGGTTCGTTGCAGCTACAATCATAGGCCTGGTTGGGTAGCTGTCTCGTGGGTGAAATCAAAGATTTAGAGATGCTTTCCAAATGCTTCTCTATCTTTCAAGCCTCTTGAATTGCTAATTATTCTATTAAAAACATCGGAGGATTGAATGTTTTATTAAAATTTGATAGTTGGTTGGTGGCAGAATAGTTCCTGCTACATCATAGAGATAATTGGTCAATGTGGTTTGCATGCTTAGAAAATGGGATGCTTCCTTCATTCAAAATTATAAGGTTGTATGGTTGAAGATTAAAGGCGTCACTAGTCAACTGTTGGGATCCAATTGTTTTTTCGGTAATTGCAAAGAAGTTCGGGAGGGTACTAGTATTGGGGGTTTTATCGTTTTAGGTAACAATCAATTTGTACATGCAAAATTTCGCTTAACTCTTAAGGGTACATGCAACCTAAATTGGATCTATGTCTTTTCTCAATTAATAGCAACATACTTATGAAACAAAAACTATAAACCCTATGAATCAAATTCATAAATAGAACCACATACCTCTTGCTTGATTCGAAACAAGCTAATCAAATAATCTTTGTAGTCTCCTTGAAAAACCAGCTCCAAAAGTATCGCTGCCTCTAATGGTTCACACACAAAACTCCGGAAACCATATGACTAAAGGAGATAGGGGAGAGAAGAGAAAGGAAGAGAATTTCGTTCTCTACCTTCTAGGTATGAGAAGCCACGGAAATTAGATGCCCAAGGGTCCTGTTTATAGTCTAGATAACTTGCAGATGAATCCGCATTTGAATAATTAAATAGTAGATATAATCCCAATTCAAATCATTTCCTTATCTACTACCATCAGCCTTCCAGAAACCCTTAGAAACTCTTTAAACCCGTCCATACTCATGGAGGTTCTAGAATTGCTTCTTTTGTTCAACTATTAAACAATTACAATTCACCCATTACACCTTTAATTAATTCCACTTAATCCCGAATTAATTCCAGATTAATTCTGATTAATAATTAATCAAATTTTTTTAACTATTTCTAATTCACTCATAATTAATTATTAACTATTTCTAATTAGTTGATTAATCACATAATAAATTAGCAAATCATTTATCCCTCTTATTTGATCAATCCAAGCCATTTCCTCGTTATGAGGGCAACCCAAAAAGGACTTTACTTTTATTCATCAACATTATACCAATTTAGTTAGGACCTTAGCCACCTTAATCCAACAGTCTCCCACTTGGATAAGTCGCTAACTAGAACTGCAAGTACAAATCCGAATAATCAATTGTGTAATTACACTTTATAACACCCCGTTACGAGATGCATTGGAGTAAACCAATGCACAATTGATTTGAAAATTATTACTTATATATCTCCATTTGAAGAATAGAAGATATTAT